AATTTCAACATGAACAGATGAAAAGTGACCCACTTTTCCTTGATGGTCTGTCTTGATCTCTGCCAGTTTAAGAGTAGCCTGGGGATTTTTACTACCTATGAAGATGGATAGACACACTTTTAATATTTGAACATTAAATGACTTCAAATAAAAAATAAAAGTAAAAACACACACACACACACACACACACACACACACACAAAGGCCGGGACTGACCTGTGCGAGGATATCGGTACGCATCTGCTTTCCTCTCCTCCAGAGCTGGAGACGGAACGTGAATAATTTCTACTTCGGTCTCATCCACCTCCTCATACAGAAGGTGCAACGTTTTCCCTCCATCAGGATCTACAGGAACAAATAAAGCAGAAGCCATTGTCAAGAGAACCTGACACAGCTTTGCAGACTGGCTGAGGGTTCAGCGCTGACCTGCTGCTGCAGACGGACTCCACCAGTAACCAGTGAAACGGTCAAACTCCTCCTGGATGACGAACGTTGCTACACCTGCAGACCTAGGGTCCTCTTTGACATTGTCCAAACCTGGGAGACGACGCAGGGATTGCAAACAGGAGAGTATCCAGTTCAGTAGAAACTTTTCTGTTGAAAAGTAACTTTTAATTCTAAGGTAAATAAAGCTAAGATAAACTCTATTTCAACATGCTATTGTTCCTTTCTTTGGCATAATCTGAGCTAAAAACTTTCCATCTTTCTTCCTTACAAATAAACAGAGAGAACAGCAGGTGCATGTTGTGTCTGTCGTCTTTGTGATTGTAACTTGAAGCACATGAAACCAATGATCAGACAGAAAAGTCCCTAACCTTTGTGGCAGTATGTCAGCCTGCGCTCCTCTCCCGTCTTGATGTTGGCTATCCACAGGTCATTGTTGTTAATGAAGGCTATAAAATCCGGGTGTCCGGGGCAGATCTTGGGGTCCATGCGGGTGCCTGAGCACTGGCTCTTTATCTCCACTGGTTTTACTGGGGCAGACTGCTGAAACAGATAAACAGTCTGAGCCAAAAGGCCTGTTCACAGTGGATGACTTAGCAAGACTGCTTATTTATTAGTATTTACAAACTTGGTAATTCCTTCTGTAGTACTGATGACTCACTGGTCAGAGCCACTCTACAGACACAGAGAACCTAGACTGCGTTCACACAGCAGGTCCTGATACTCATGTCCAAGGTTTTACTGATTTAAATTTTTTTTTTACGAGGTCATTCAAACTACTGAATGATGTCAAAACCCAATCCAAAGTGACCTGCAGAAGAACGCATGTATCACACAGAGGGAGCTGGAAAAGTAATTATGGATGCCGTCCCTTTAAGGATGGGCCTTAAAGGGACAGTATTATGTATTTACCAGACACATAATGCCATGTTATAGCACAAGGTAGTAATTATGTTAACTTCAGTTGTTATAAAAATGCTACATATGTCAAACATGACTTAAGAGAAATATGACTTCGTAATTTTACACCTTGAAATTGGGTCTCTATCTCTTTAACAACGCCTTATCTTTCTGAAACTCCGCCTTCAGGAAGTCAATAACTTTATTAATCTGATGTTGATGTCACAACATGTTACCAGATGTCAGGGGCGCGGTATAGGGGGGAAAAGTGATGACAATTCTAGGGGCCCTGACCAACAGGGGGCCCTCCACAATTTATTTATTGTTCATAGAAAAAACACACATGCATATTTCCCCTGATCCCCCTCCCCCCCTGCATGAAATGGTTCATTCCTGCTTGGAGCGCTTCACCATGACGCTGTTAGCAACAGTCAGTAGAAGACACGAATGATTGTTGCAGTTACTATGCTGCTAAGAAAAGTTATAAAATCAAGTTTTCAAAATAAATAAATAAATAAAAAATAGAGAGAGGGAGAGAGAAAAAGGCAAGAGTGTCAATTTATAGCTCAGTTTTTCTCCGAGGTGGGTAGACTGTATGAGATTATCAACCATTCAGCATAGTTAGCATAGCTACGGACTACTGATTACCCCCATTTCACTAGCATTTAATGAATTAAGGAATTAATTCATATATTTAACTTGTCCCTTGTACCGTTTACCACTAATCAACAAATGAGTCAGTCAGCAGCAGCTCTAACCCACATCCCTCCTGACCTGCCCTCTCCTAAGTGAAATTAAAGCTGCAGTATGTAACTTTTATATAAATCTATTTTTTCCACATATTTGTTAAAACTGCCATTAAGTTGTGACATTATGGTAGGAAAGGTAATCTGTGAAAAATCCATTTCCTCTGCTTTCTCCCAGTGCGCTCTAAAAACAACCAGTCAGTGGCAGGAGAGGTTTAGTGCTGTCAATCGCAATCTCATGTGGCTCATCCTTCCTCCCCCTTACTCTGTGCTATTCTGCAGCTAGCATAGCCTTTTGTAAATCGCTACCAGTGATAGCAGATAAACAATTTTCCTGTAACAATGAGTTATTTCTCCCCCATTAGCACATTTAGCAGTGAATGAGTGAGGTTGATTGACAGCGCTAAGAGCATCCTACTGGTTCTGATTGGTTGTTTTGGTCAGAACGGTGCATTACTTTAGCCAGTAATAGTAGTTCAGGAAGGAGGTGGAGGAAATTGATTGTTTTCACAGATCATCTGTCTCATAACAAACTGTCACGACATGATGACAGCTTTATCAAATATGGAGAAGACATATTTTTTATTAAATTTATATACTGCACTAAGTCATCATTTGGCAACTGCATTCTTTATTTTCTCTTATTTAGTTTGTTGTTAAGTCTTGAAGGTAATCTGCATTTTATTTAGGAGGTTTTTGGATTTTCATTTCTACTGGCTTTTGAAAACCATATATCATTTCCCTGAGCTGTGTGCTCCTTTGTGTTGGTCCATCGCTTAAAACTTAAAAAAAAAAAAAAAAAAAAAAAAAAAAAAAAAAACCCAATAAAAGTTTGTTGCGGTATGAT